TGATGATGGTTGGAGAGTTCCGAGAGTACATGAAGAAAATACACTGGAATTAAGATAAGATAATCTAATTATCTGAAATATAATGTCGTTTTTGTGTACCATAGAGTCAGAACCAATGCATAGCTGACTCTCCAGTGGGATTTTAGAGGCAGTTAATCACATGGCAGGAGATTGCCCATTCTTTTCCCATGGAGCAGCTGGTGGCCTCAAACCACATGCCTTCATGATTCATTATCTTTATATTATTTCAAATTATTATCTACAAAATTCTCTTTCTGTATCTGTCACTACTTTATTTCAATTTCAGGAGCTCTGGTGGCCTAGTGGTAAAAAAGCTGTGCTGCAATCCCAAAGGCATGTGGTTTGAGGTTACCAGCTGCTCTGAGGGAGAAGGATGAGAAATCTCTTCCTATGTGATTTACAGCCTCTGAAAACCCAGTTGAGGGTCAGCTATGGGTTGGTTCTGACTCTATGGTACATAACAACACACACATAGGGATCTCTGGTGGCTTAGTGGTAAGTAGCTGCACTACAATCCCAAAAGCACACAATTCTAATCCACCAGCTGCTTTGCAGGAGAAAGAAGGATGTTCCCTCCCACCCACCCATCCCGAGCAATGTACTGCCTCTGAAAACCCACTGGAGGGACAGCTATCAGTCAATTCCAACATGACAGTACATAAAAATAAACCACACACAAATTATTTGTTTTAGATTTCATTTTGTTCCCAGAGATATATTTTCTAAAGGTTCTAACACAGGCCATAAACTTTGCAATGACTTGCTATGCATCAGAGAGCTGGACAATGACTAAGGATGATAGAAAGAAGAATTGATGCCTTTGAGTTGTGGTGCTGGAGAAGAGTCTTGAACATACCATAGACTGCCACAAAAACAAATAGCTCTGTTTTGGAAAGGGTTAAACCAAGTTTCTCCTTGGATGGTAGGATTTTGAAGTTCTGTCTTACATACTTTGGGCACATGATCAGGAGGCACTTGTCCTTGGAGAAGGACATCATGCTCAGAAGGGTCAAGGGACAAAGCAGGAGAGGGAAACCCTGGATTGTTAAGTCAGTGTACTTAAGGAAGGAATCAGAGAGAAGGAGAGAAAGCATAATGCAGCTTTATTAAAGGGGAGGGGTATAGGAGAGCTCCTGGGTGAAGGTGATCTTTCTGGAGATGCAGAATGGGGAGTTCACAGCTTGAACTTATTGGAGAGGGTTTTTATAACAGGGTCTTTAGCGAAGAGGGGGAGGTCCACCTGTTAGCTCAGCTAAGCAGGCAAAAACGTTTCTCTTCTTATTAGCAGGAGGCAAGGCCGTCAGCATTTGAATTCTGAATTCGTCATTCTTCTCCTTGGTCCCCTTGTCTGGGCCTAACATCAGAGTCTCTTTAGTAATAAAACAGGGCAATATATCTTTATTCTGGCTACTTCCTGCTGAACAGCAGTGAAGAACTAGGGGTTCAGAGGCTGGAATGAGTCGGACCAGGATCAGTGTCCAGGGGAAAATTAAGTTGGTCATTTCTTTGATCCTGTGAAGTAAGAACTTAAAGAAACATGGAGTGATTAATAACAATATGCTTATGATTACTTTTGGTCCTAGAGAAGGAAGAATTTAGGCTAGAAATGGGGTTTTGAGTCAATTTTGAGAGAAAGCTTGCGGTGGAATTCTGTATAGAATCTCATTACAACAAATGTGTTGTCCTAGTTCAGCTACAGTGTGCTTGTTTATGCTAACATTTTGTATGTATACTGTTCTCATGTTCTATTGTAGAGGGTGCCAGAGGAAGAGGGTTTAGTCTTCTTCTCAGGCTCTGGTTCTCAGAAGGGAATGTGTCTTGGAATGCTCGAGAACTTAGTTTGAGCTGATGGAACGGCTTGAGGTGTTTTGGTAGAGTGTAATTTAGAGAAATGGATTGGTACTGCTGCTAGCAAAGGTCCTTGTAAAGAGGCACAAAGAAAACAGAAAGGTTGGTCACTATCTGACTTTGGTTAAGGAATAGTAAAGTGCTCTGGATAATTTGGACCCAGATTGGGGACTGCATAGTTTGTGGCTCTTTAGAGACTTGTTTTATTATTGTCTGTTCAGCTTGGAGAATGTCGTTGGACAAGTAGCAAGGTTGCTACTTCTGGGACATGATATCAAGCTGTTTAGACAGGTATGCAATGGAGGTAAAAGTGGGTTTAAGGGATTGAGCTAAAACACTAACAACAACACTTTGTTTTTTATCAGTGAATAGGTGGAAAGGTTTAGAGGAATTCAGTAAAGTAAGGAGTAGAGACTGTAGAATGAAGTATTGGAGTTTGAGAAAGGTTTTTCTAACCATATGGATTGAATTTAGGGGACTTGGAGGGAAAGAGTGCTGAGAGAGAGAACTGAAGAGTGGTCAGGTGAGCTAGATTCACTTGACTTTTAGTGAAACACAGCTCCAAGTTTAGACAGGAGGTCCCTGCTTAGCATCAGAGTTGGACGTGTGGGGATAATTAGAAAAGAATAGGTATTTGTTTGTTGAGGGTAATGAGGAGAGGTTGAATGGTAAGAGGCTTGAAGGGAAGGCTAATAATCCTCTTTACTCAGACATGGGTAGGGGAAAGAGAACCCAAAAAGGAAGGGAGTACTGAACAGGTAGCTCTCATGTCAATCAGTAGAAAAAATAGCTTGCTTGGACCTGAAAGGTTACCTTAGGGGCTTAGAAGGTGTGGTGAGGGTCATTGAACCTAGGCATCTTCAATGTCTAATGGCCAGGCCTAAGAGAACAGTCAGAGTGGGAACTGGGTCCAGTAAAGGGACTACTCTACAGGGGCTTGGCACTGAAGAGAGGCATGTTTTCTGGTGTTCCACAGATAGGACAAGGCTGTGTTATCAGGCTCTGAATTGGAGAGTGAGAGTTAGTGCAGTGACTAACTCCAAAGGCCCTCTTTGTCACACTTGAAGGAAGTACCTGGAGGGAAGGAGCAGGTGTTTTCTGTCCTGTCACCACTGCTGCAAGACAGCTATATTTGCAGATTTGCTTTGTATTGAGTATGAGTCTTCTTATTGTCTTTTGTCCATTTCTCTTGGGCATTAGAACTTTAAGCGCCTATCTGCCAGATCTCAAATAGGGTGTTTGGAGGCAAGTGGGGTGTATGGAGGCAGTTTCCAGATTTTATGTATGCTGCTAGATGGTGGTGAGAACTCACCGTTCACTTTGATATTTCCCTCTGCTCTGGGAACTTTCCCCCAAGCAAGATGGGAGAGTACACATAAATGGGGAAGCAGGAGTAGAGAGGCTTGATGAATTTACCTCTGTGTTTTTGTTTGGGGCCACTGATGTGATTACAAGAGGGAGGATTAGAGGAGAGAGGTGGTGTTTTTATTGGTAGGTAGGGTTGGAAACAATCTGCGTTATGCGGATGACACAACCCTGCTTGCTGAAACTGAGGAGGACCTGAAGCACCTGTTGCAGAGGGTCAAGGACTGCAGCCTCCAATATGGATTGAGGCTCAATGTCAAGAAGACAAAGATTCTCACCACTGGACCAATTGGCAGCATCAGGATGGATGGTGAAGAGACTGAGATTGTTCACAGCTTTAGTTTGCTTGACTCCACAGTCAACACTCTATCTAATCAACAGACGCCTGAAGAAACAGGGTAGTCTTCAAGGCTTAGAGAAACAGTGAAAAGGGGAGTCAAGGTGCATTTCATTACAGACCAAGGCAAAGGAAGAGTCACTGGGCCAGGGCCACGTACCAGACGACAGCTGCAGTCGACCCACCTAGGCTGGCTTCTATGTGCGATCCTTAGTTTACAAGTATTTCAGAAGAGTTTGCCGAAAGCAACAGTTGAATCCTGGGTCAAAGATAAGATGCCAAAGAAGTCTGGTTGGTGATGGTTTTGGCGCGCGCGAAAGAGAGCATAACCAGACAGTTGCCAGAGACCAAGGAGGGACAGTCGAGGCTCAGCTGATGCGTGACCTGCCACCAAACACACAGCAGCAGGCCAGCACCACGCTGTCTGAAGATGACTCATCAACTGATGAGGTGTTTCAAGAGCTTAAGGAATCTATCAAAGTGGAGCCCATTCCTGGGGAGCACCTAGCCCATGGCAGTGCCACCTCCTACAAGAAGTCCCTCAGACTCTCCTCTGAGCAAATAGCAAAACTGAATCACCAAGATGGACCAAATGATGTTGTATTTAGTATTACAACCCAGTATCAAGGGACCTGTTGCTGTGCAGGGACCATTTCATTTACCTGTGGAACTGGAATGACAAGCAATGGGACAATAACCAAGTCTGATGCTTTGGGTCAGATCTTCCCGCAGCTGTGTGAAGACTGGACTCACCAGGGCATAACAAAGCTCTACCATTCCATCAATGATAATGGCTCCAAGTTTCTGTACTGCTCCGCCCACACCATCGGCATGGCCAACATGACCTGTGGATACCTCCACTGGGTCACCGACAAGAGCACAATCCTGCCTCATGGCCCTCTGATGCTGTCCCCTAGCAGCCTCTTTTCTGCCTTCCAGAGGGAAGTGATAGAAAAGAAACCAGAGAAGTTTAAAATTTAATGACTAAATGATATTAAAAAACTTTTTCGCTTCGTCCAAGCAGCCCTTCTATGCTGCCTTTGGAAACCGCCCAAATGATGTCTATGCTTACACACAAGTAGGCGTTTCAGACTGTAGAATATTCACTGTAAACCTCAAGGGGGGGAGTTAAAACAGGAAAGGACCAAAGGAAACATTGTACCACCAGCTGAACAAGCTCATGGAGCACGTGTTTTGTCTTCTCAACAAAGAACAGAACTCCGCCTTTTCATGCCCAGAGTTCAGCTCCTTCTGCTACTAGCGAGACCCAATCCCCAGAGTGAACCTGGACGAACTGTCTTGAGAAAATCCTTCTCAGGGCTGGGATTTGGTCACTCCACCTCCCAGGAAGGGAGGTGACTGGCTGTTGCTAGACAGAGTACACTGGGCTAACTTGACACTGTTGTGCTGGAGCCAACACACATTCTAGTCAGGCAACCACTTTCTCATGACCAGACGAAGAGGGCGCCAGGGGGTCCAAATGAAAGGTGGGGACTGTGCTTGTCTGTCCGACCGTCTGTCCGTGTGCTCTCAAGTCCTGTGCTGGGTGCAGCTATAATTACAAAAGTAAAAGAAAAAATAATAATAATAATAATAAAATAAATAAAAATTGGCATTTCAACAAAGTAAAGTGGTCTGGCCAGACCTGTCGAACTGTCACGGGTCCAGTCAGTGATGAGTAACCCGCCCTTGCCCACTCTGCCCTGGACTCTGCCTTTCCCGCTGCCCTCATGAGGCTGTGGTTCAGCTGCCACAATCCACGCAGCCACACACGTGTGTCCAGCACTGAGCACCATGGACATCTTGGGTGTGCGACGCCTTAGTGGAAGTCCTCGCAGTTACTTTTTAGATATGTCCAGAAAGAACAGGTATATATTTGACTTTTTCAGCAAAAATTGTATTAGTGGAAATTGAGTTTAAAAGAAAGAAAAGAAACTGCTTTGTGTTTTCAGGGAGACCTCAGAAATGCAGTTGCCATTGTGTTCTGTCCTGGGAAATGCTTCCCTGTCTGTGCCTGTGCCCATTGGTGGTGGGCTTTTGAGTGTCTTGGCTTTGGGATAGGGTTTCTAAGAATCTGCACTTTATCTTAGTTGAGAGGTACAGTGAAGCCATGGAGAAAGCCTGAGGAGGGCGAGAGGGCTCTGGCATGGCCACTTGCACCCTGCCTTCCCTACTGGCTACTCCAACTGGGACATGCATAGCAGAACCTCGTGGGGACAGCCATGTGTGTTCCATTAAAGAGTGAAGAGATTACCTGGCTGTGATAAACTCACATAATAGAACAGACAGCTCTAGGCTCATGTGCTGTCATCCCCCATAGACTGCCATCACCCATGTCCAGAAACCTGGAAAGACCAGGATGGTGTTGACAATCACTTCAATATTAAAGGGATAAGAACTGTTTGAAAGGAGGCCTCAGGAGACCTCAGAGGCCACAGTCTCCCGTGAGGAGATCCTGTGCTGAGCCCAGAGCTGCGTGTCACAGAGACAAGGCCGCTCATAGACCTGCCCCATGTGATCATGTTGTGCTTTCTTGTCATCTGCACTCCTCTCATCTCATCCAGTACCATATTGATGCTGAGAGGGAAACAGAGTGGCTGGTTCTTCAGATTGGTAGTGGGGTTACCTGGCTCCCCTCACTGTTCTTCCCTCCTGCTTTTGGCTGCAGGAACCATGTTGATATTCCCTGGACAGTTCTCAGTGGCAAGACCTCAAGGCACATGTTCAGTTCATTAAAGCTAATTGTAAGGAGTCAGAAGTGATTGTGTTCAGTGCGTTAGAGAAGCTACTTCTGTGGAGTTCTACCGAAGTAGTGAATGAAAGCCCTCCGTGAGCTGACTCTGGCTGCTCTGTCTCTGAGCCAGGTTCTCTGGACCATGGGTGAGGTTGCTGGTAACGTGGTTAAAGCCTAGCAGAGCACCCTCGGCATGTCCTCCTGCAGATGTTGAGGGATGAATGCAGTGCTACTCATCTGAACTCAGGGGGTTCCTGTGTGTGTGTGTGTGTGTGTGTGTGTGTGTGTGTGTGTGTGTGTGGTATGGAGTCCTAACCCACACCCCTCCAGTCCCTTTGGCTCATCTTCTGCAGAGTAGTTGGCTACCTGTTGTCTGTCTGTCCTGACAAGCTCTTCTCTGAGGACATACTTCCTTAGAGGACCCAGCTAGGAATCTTTATGGAGGGGCTTTGTCCCAGCTTCCATAAGCAATTGGCTTTGTTACTTTGTCACTGCAAGTTGATCCAGTAAGTATAATAATTAGCGTGAGTCGTCTTCCTTTATTTAAAGGAGTCCCTTTCCCAAAAGTAGATGCTTTATTATTACTATAGTGTTATCAAAGTATTAATTTTGTGCTAAACACCCATTGCCATTTGGTACAAATGATATTTGTTCTTTCTGTGAAAGAGAGATGCCCTTGAGTATTTGTACACAGCCCTGGAAGTTCGTGGGCCATGCCTGAGGTGAAGGGGTCACTGGAGCCTGCAGGACAGGGCCCTGGGCTTCTTCCTCTCCAGCCCACTCTGCCTCTCGTGTTTGCGCCATGTCCATGTGTGAGCCTGTACTTCTGTGAAGGATAGACTTCAGCACCCTTGTCAGCTATGGGGAAAACGTGTGGACCTGATGAGCAAGTGTGGCACGGTCAGAACATCTGCCCAGATTTCAACTGGAAAAAGAAACAGCTTGCTGGTTGTGTCCTGACGGGGAAGCTGCTAAAAGCTGTGCAGGGTTGCCTCTCCCCCATCAGTGACTGGAGGTCTGTCTGCCACGAAGCCACAATCTGGGCCTGTGCACGGGTTGCTGGGAGCAGGGACACTTATCCTGACAGGATGTTGACAATCTGTGGGGAGTTGTAGATTTTCAGGTGCCATGTCTACTCCAGGAACCCTGGGTTTTCCTTGTTTTATAAACTGGTTAAAAATTGAGCTTTTTTTTGTTTTAAGTAAATGCTCTTTCCAAGTGAAATCGACCTTTTGGCTTGTTTGGAAGATAAGAAAAGGAGGGGAAACTGCTCTTTCATTTTAACAGTTAAGTTCTGTTTATGGTGAAGTATTTGATTAGATAGCAATTCCACTAATAAGTTTTGTGTTATCAGAAAATAATTGTAAACATCAGCACAGCAGTACTCTTAGTAATGGTAAAGACAATTGTCTTGAAATATGCGGATCATATTTTGGTGCAATGTTTGATGTTCTAAATAAAATGTTATAACAATAAACAAATGTGAAAAGGGGGCAAGAGTCAGTAGAGCTTCAGTTCTCATTTTCTCAGGGTATATTCTAAACAGTGGAATAGCTGGGTCATATGGGATTTCTATGTTGAGCTTTTTGAGGAAATGTCAAACTACCTTCCAGAGTGGTTATACCATTTTACAATCCCATCAGCAGTGCATGAGAGTTAAAATCTCTCCATATCCTTTGCAACATGTATTACTTGCTGCCCTGTTAAACTTTGCCACTGCTACTGAAGTGAGATGGTATCTTGTTGTGGTTTTGATTTGTATCTTTGTTATTCACCATAACAAGAACAAGAAAACAGCCCAAATGTCTGACTATAATTGAATGGATTAAGAAATTATGGTATATTCACATGATGGAATACTGCACAACATGCAGGAATAATTATTTTGAAAATTATTACCTAACTTGGGAGAGACTGGAGAGCATTATGCTAAGTGAACTAATTCAGTCCCATAAGGACAAAATCGGTATAAGACCATTATTGTACACTATGTATGAAGATCCAAGGGGAGGGGGAGGTGGAAAGCTGATGGGTGAGGATGGGGGAAGAGGGTTGATCACAAGGTCACACAATTTGATAGGAGAGAGAGGTGGGTAAAGAAAATTAGAAAGATCCTGTGTGGTGTGAAAAATCACATATACGAACTTTGTAAGTAAACCAGTTTAAAATAAAAATTTTATTTAAAATTTTTTTTAAAGTCAGTAGAGCTGAACTATTCTGCTTGTTCAAGAGGAATATGATCCATTTTCTTGCCTTTTGCAGTTTCTCGAGATTGTGAACATTCCTTAACTTATGACCTCATCCTCCATATTCAAAGCACATCACTTCTACCTGGTTCTGTAATCAAATCCCCTTTTTCTGACGTTGGCTCTTTCATGTCCTTTTAATGTTGTTGTTGTTATGTGTCATTGAGTCATTTGTGACTCATAGAAACCCTATGTACAACAGCCCTAAACCTGTTCTATCCTGTGCCAATCTCACTGTCTCTGACAAATCTACTCCCATTACCCCAGTCACTAAATCAATCCACCTCATAGAGGGTCTTCCTCTCTTGTGCTGTTCCTCCATCCCCCGAAGCATGATGTCCCTCTCCAAGGATTGGTCCCTTCTTGTAACGTGTCCAAAGTATGTCAGATGAGCCTCAGAATCCTTGCCTCCAAGGAGCAGTCTGATTTAACCCTCTCCAGGATGAACTTGTTTATTCTCTTACCAGTCTATGGTATATTCAATACTCTTCTCCAACACCACAGCCCAAAGGCACCAATTCTCCTTTTGCTATCCCTAGTCATTGTCCAGCTCTCTGATGCATAATAAGTGATTGCAAAGACCATGGCCTGTATTGGGTGCACCTTAGTCTTCAGACTGGCATCATTGCTCTTCAGTACTTTGGAGATTTCTCTAACAGCAGATTTTTCCATTGCAATACATCTTTTCATTTCCTGGCTGCTGATGCCAAGAGTATTGATTGTGGAGCCAAGTAAACCAAAGCTGTTAACAATCTCAACCTCTTCACCATCTATCATGATGCTGCCAATTGGCCCATTGGTGATAATTTTTGTTTTCTTGACATTGAGACTCAATCAGGAATTGATGATATACCAATTGACATATTTCAACTAACAGATGCTGTCCTAGATGTGCTCACCAAGTTGCCAAGAAATCTGGAGGACAACCACTTGGCGAGCTGACTGGAAGAGATCTCTGTTTATTCCTATTCCAAAGAGAAGTGATCTGACAGATGAACAATATCATTAATATCACATGCAAACAATATTCTGCTGAAGATTATCCAACAATGACTGGAACAACACATCAACGGAAAACTGCCAGAAGTGCAGGCTGGGTTTAGAAGGGATAGTGGTACTAGGGATATTATAGCTAAAGTTAGATGGATCTTGGCTAAAAGCAGGTAGTACCAGAGGAATGTCATTTCCATTGATCTTTGCAATCTTTGCAAAGGCATTTGACTGTGTGGATCACAACAAATTGTGACTAAGAACGGGAATCCCAGAACACTTGATTGTGTTAATGGGAAACCTATACTTGACAAGGCATCAGTCATCAGAACAAAGAAAGGAAGCAGTGCATGATTCAAAGTTGGGAAGAGTGTATGCCAGGGATGTGTCCTATCTCCGTACCTTTTCAGTCTATATGTAGACTAGATTATCCAGGAGTCTGGGCTCTATGAGGAGAAATGTGGCATCAAGATTGGAGGAAGATTTATCAACAATCTGCATTATGTAGATGATACAACCCTGCTTGCTGAAACTGAGGAGGACCTGAAGCGTTTGCTGCAGAGGGTCAAGGACCCTCTTTTAATGTAGACTTGTGATTATATTGGACCTACCTGGATAATCCAGGAAAATCTCCCATCTTAAAATCATCACATCTGCAAATTTCATTTGCCATGTACAGTGATAATATTCATAAGTTCTAAAGATTAGGATGTGGACATATATGAGAACTATTGTGAACTTATCACAACTTTCAGATAATTTTAATGATCTTCATTTCTTGTCAACATACAGCTTATTGAATAAGTGAATACATGAAATGAATAAAGACTAGCAGTGATCCAACAAATATTCACTAAGGGTTTATTATGTGTTGGGTCAGGCTATCTTCAGAAAAGATGTAGGAAATCAGTATTTATTCTAAAACTTTGGAGTCAGAGCAAATTCTCTGTCCTATTGAAACAATAGCCAATTTATCTCTCATCATCATTCAGTTAAAGAAAGATAAGAAAATCCCATTTTCATCAATCTACTTACAAGAATCTGTTTTTAATAAAGGTAATCAGAGTAATAGCACATTCACAGCCCCATGTTAACAACCTATTCAGGTCAGGGTTGTTTTGCAAGACAGGGTACTGGTAATTGCTCTGTGGAGAGGACATTCTGGGTGTGGAGCTTACTTGCCTTTTGCAGGTACCAGGTAAGCTCCCAGATTCACTTTTCACTCTTCCACAGACCGTTGCATTCCTGAACTCAGAGGAGGCGGCTGTTCCAAGGAAGGTTTTGGGCCCATGGATGGCTGTGGACCCTTTTTCATGAGTCATCTGTGAGTCTGTTTCCCTCAGAGGTTGTGGGTTTGACCTCTTTGTGGCTTGTTGCTCTGAGTTCCATGCAGCCCAAGGATCTGAGTCTCCTGTAGCTTGTGAGGCTCTGTTCCTTGTAATGTGAGGCTCTGATCTCTTTACAGCCTGAGGCTCTGACCCCTCTGTGGCCTGTGAGACTCCTCTCCTTACAGCCTGATGGTGTGACCCCCCTGTGACCTGTGAAGCTGTTGTTAGTGTAGCTTGAAGGTCTAATGCCACTGTGACCTTTGAGACTGCTCTCTGGGTAGCCTGAAGATATGACTCTTGCTCAGCCTGAAAGTCTGATCCCCTCATGGCCTGAGAGGCTCCTCTCCTTGCAGCCTGAGCATAAGAACCACGTGCAGGCTGAGAGCCTGACCCCTGTATGGCCTCTGAGGCTCCTCTCCTTGCAGCCTGAAGGTATGACCATTGCACAGCCTGAGGGTCTGACTCCCTGGTGGCTACTCTTGCTTCAGCTAAATGGTTCCTGGCTCGGTTTTGGACAACTATGTCACCAGTAGTAGTGGAGAAATTCCCAAACTTCTGGTTGGAAGGTGGGTTTGTGAGGGGCTCAGTCATGGAGCGCATGACACAGAAGCCCAGAAAGCATGCTTCACAATTGGCTATGTCATGGGACCCTTCCAAAGGTACCTCTATAATCACTGGTAAGTCGTGAGCTGTCCAGTCTCTGGTTCTATAGAATCTGTCCAGAATACGCTGCACCAGGTTGTGAAGAATCCTCATGGTGTTCTCAGAAGAGAACTCTGGCTTCTCAAATTGGGACCCAAGGCACTTCTTACACCTCTGAGCAAACAGCCGCATTAGCACCTGGCCCTGGGACTTTGGGGGCTCCTGGTACATATGGCAGAGGACTTGCACTTTGGCAGAAGCCCATTTTCGTGAGCACGAGGAACATTGGAACCTGCAGACAAAAGGGGGGGAAAAAAAACAACAACCAAACTCATCTGCTGGGCCCAGACCAAGGTCAAGGGGGAGAATGGAGGATTCAAAGTATATCAACATGTCAACAAAGGGAATGAATGACCTCACCCACCTGGCTAAACCACAGTGGACTGCCCCTCCCTACCCTCCCTAAAGACTCTTATTATAAAAAACTACCCAACCTACCTTGTTGTTGTTAAGTGCCCTCAGTCGCAGGCGACTCATAGCTACCCTATGAAGGAGACTCCTCAATGCTTGGGTGTCTCTCATCCCCTCTCCAGGTTCTCTGGAGCCAAGCTATTATGGAAGTGGATGCCACTCCTCCTTCCAAGCTTGTTTTAATCAGGGAGCTCCAACCCACTCTCTGTCCGCATTGGGTAACCAGCCATTAATGCATGTGACACATCAGTGTCACAGTGTTCAGCCTCACAGCAATCACTAGTTATCACTGTACAGCAACTTGTACACCAGGGCTATGCGACCTAGAGGAATGTCTGAACAAAAACAATGAAAGATAGGCCTGAGGGCCGCGGATTTAAAAAAAGCCTACCACAGGGCACAGTTTTCCTCTGGCTTGTCTCTCTTTCTATCCAGACCAAGGACTCCTACTCAGAAGCCCTCTTAATAAAGCTGCTTTAAGTTTTCTTTTTTTCCTCTGGTCCTTTCCTTGAGTCATTGGCCTTAAGTCCAGTGCAAGACCTAACAGCACCTTCTCCTGAATATTGACCAGATAAGAAATTCAATTGACTCCAGTCTCTAAGATATTTGTAAATTTGGTAATGGCCACGAGTCTGTCCTTAAGAATGTTCCAGTCTCTGACTGGAAGGATTATGTTTCTAACAAATTTTTTCTATGACCCACTGGAATGCTAGCCATAGATCATCTATAACTGTGTCTCTTTTGCTTGTAAAACATCTCTGGATTCTGGAGATAAAATTCATTTCTATCATGGGCCAAAAATTTGTTCCTCACAGCAAGTCCTCATAAAGCATCTACTAAGATACAGGAGCCAATGTCCCTTAGAAAAGAAACTTTGATATTTGTTTTAAGGATCTTAAGGACTATGAAAAAAGAAAAACCAACTTAAAAATAAATGTGATTTAGCACTGCAGGACATATGTTGTTGTTGTTGTTATGTGCTATTGTGTTGGGTCCATTCTGTAGTCAACTCTCCAGCAGGTTTTCTGAGGTAATAAATCACTCGGGAGGAGGTTGCCCATTGCTCTTCCACAGAGTAGCTGGTAGATTCAAACTGATTGCCTTTGAGTTGGCAGTGTAGCTCCTTACAAACAGGCCACCAGAGCTCAATGCCATATTGATAGGAAAACATAAATATGCTAAAAATGGTGTTTACTTGGAAATAGCAATTAAGCAAATAGAAATAAGTAGACTGTAAATATATTTTTTACTTAGATAATTGTTGTTGTTCTGTTATTGAGTTGGAACCAACACATAGCTGACACTCTGGTGGGTTTTTAGGGTCAATAAATCACATGGGAGGAGATTGCCTATCATTCGCCCACAGAGCGACTCACTGGTGGATTGGAACCATATGCCTTTGCGGAAAGGCACACAAATGTCGAGGACTTTCATTCATAGGGTCGCTATGAGTCGCCTATGACTCTACGGCACTTAACAACAACAAGGAGCAACTTGAGCTCCCTACTCAGATAACAAGTAGGTAAAATAGTAGCATGTGAGCAAATAAGAACAGTATGGACAGAGAAACAAAGTATAGACACAATATCAAAGAGAGAGCAAATGCACCCATGCTAAAAGGTGCTGCGCTTTAGTAAGCTGAAGACCCCTGACCTTAACAGCTATGGAGTCTCCAGGTCTCTGCTTATACTCCACTTGCTACAAAAAAAGACTCAGCCCATGTCAAAATTTCTACAATCTTAGAGGTTCCTGAGATGGCACATCCCTCTCCAAGACAGAGGACAGTGCTATTGTCACTGTTACAGTTACTGAAATAGAGATTTCTAAACTGATGAGCTCATCTGTAGATAATCTTTAAAAGAATGTATTATGGACTTGAGGTTTTTTGAGTAGACTCTTACAGTGTGACAACAAATTTTTGTAAACCTTAGTGGGCCTGGTGGATAGAAAGTTATGCTACCAAGTCAAAGGTGGGTGATTTTAATCTGTGGCCCTCTGGCTTGGTTTTAATTGGTTTTTATGGGAAGCCAAACTTTATACCAAACATTACATGAAAACCCTTGTTCAGGAATTGAAGGAATTACAGATACATAAGTTAGGATTTCTCTTGTGGCAGATCCTAGAAAATGAGCTGTTTGTTCCCTGCAAGACAGGAGACAGCAAGGGGCCCCCTACAGAGGGAGTGTTACTTCCT